TAGGAGAAACTACTTGCAAATCATATAGCTGATAGGGGTTAATATCCAAAATATATAAAGAACTCATATAACTGAAAAGCAAAAAAAAAAAAAAATCCAAATAAAAAATGACAGAAGAACTGAACATTTTTCCAAATGCATATAGATAGCCAACTGGTACATGAAATGGTGCTCAACATCACTAATCATCAGATAAACGCAAATCAAAACCACAATGAGCCATTTTGTCACTCTTGTGAGAATAGCTATTATCAAAAAAAAACAAGAAATAACAAGTATTGGTAAAGATATGGAGAAAAGGGAACCCTCGCACACTGATGATGGGATTGTAAATTGGTGCAGTATAGAGGTTCCTCAAAAAATTAAAAATTGAACTACCATATAATCCAGAAATTCCACTTCTGGACCAGTGGTCCAGAAATCAACAACTGTGGAGTCCTACTTTGTGGCTGAGGTCTGACTTTTCATTCTACAATAAGGTTCTAGCATTTGACCAATGAAAAAGCTTAATTTGTGGACTGATATAAGCTCATAGGTAAATATTTAGAGAGGATATTTGGGAGAAAAACTGCCCTTTGTGATTGAGGTGGAGACTCAAAAATTAATTATAATCTTAGTATTAAAGAAATATTTTATTGTCTTAGGCCGATGAGGTTATGGCATTTGGGTAAAATAAGCCTGTTCTTTCTTTCTCCCACCCCTATTTTTACTCATTGCTTTTTAAGATCCTTGATAGGCTTTTCTATCATGCTTGCCCTTAAAAGGAGTTTCAAGTCACTCACCTTCCCAACAGTGAGAAGTCTCATTCTGGGATATACAACCAGTTTTTCACTGGGCATGTTCTCCTGATGTCACATAGGTACCTCAAATTCAATGTCCTCAGTTGAGTTGATCATCATCAACATTTATCCTCTATGCCTATCATCGCTATTCATTTACATTCAAGCCAGACCTTAGAGTCTACCTAAATTCTTTGGCTTTCTTTACCCTTCACATGAAATACCAAATACTGTTTGTACATTTTATTTTTCCCTCATTTTTCTAATAACTTCCTCATTCTCCATATTCACCTCAAATAACCTAGTTCAGACTCTATTATCTCCTTGAATTTTCTTCATTGAAATCTGATGCATTGGATAGAAATGAATCCAGGGTGCAATAAACCAGGAAATCCTACTAGGTCTAGCTAAGTATCTAAGGAACATGGTCATTTATAATCCATCTCCAGATACGTGAGCATAAACTGTGGTGTTCTCTGCCTTTGGCTGGACAGTATTTTTATTCTTTGCCCTCATTTTCTCATATTCTTGATCTTTGTTTCAGATCCTACTTGGCATTTTGACCACAAATCAAATTAACTCAGCCACAGTGGCTTATATAGGAAGGATCAAGATCAAGTGGATGTCTTATTGGCAAAGAGCACAGAATTTGATGACATATTGCCGGAAAGGGTGTGGTGAAGCATACATACATACATACATAATTTCTGAGAAGTTAAGTTGGTAGGACCTCTTTGAAGGGTAATTTGGCAATAGCTATTAAATATAAAATTGACCCAGTAATTCCATTTCTAGGAATGTATCCTGCAGACAAACTTACACATGTGCACAAAGATGCATGCACATAAGCAATCACTGTGGAATTTATAGTAATAGAAAATAAAAACCAGTATAAATGCTCATCAAAAGTGCAATGAATAAATAATGTCCCAACCATACAGGGGACTGTTATACAATTAAGATGAATTAGGTAGATATGTATAAGAATCAATCTCGAAGATTTTGTGATAAAAAAGGCACAGATATGTGCAGCACGTGATATCATTTTTATAACAATTATATACACACATTTACAATTGTGTTATGTACAGACTATCTCTAAATGGACACACATACTAGGGTACTGCTTGTGATCCATGGGCAAAAGATCAGGGATCCTAGGGTTTGAGACTTACTTTTCATTGTACACCTTTTATAAAGTATGATTGTTTTGGTCATATGCATGTACTACTTAAGTTAAATTAAAGTACAAAAACAAAACAAACATAAAGACCAAGTGGGAAGTCTTGATAGTTGTAGTCTAAAAAATTAGAAATATCTGCATAAAAATGCTATACATCTATGCCTTTCCTCACACTGGAAGTAACATATACGCATACATAAATATACAGTATGTGAAAATAGGAAGTTATAAGCACATATACATTTGTGTAAATGAAAAAAAAATTGTTAAATCATCTTAAAAACACAAGATGACACCTAATTGTCCTAACTTATAGCAAGTATATCTAGACATGGTATCCAAGATGTTATTTAATCTCTTAACCCATGTTAGTAGCATAAGTTTGCTTTTCAAATAAAAAAGTACAAAGTAATGTATACATAATGATGTTTAAGGTTCAATTTCTCTACTGTAAGATTTTGACTTTGATAAATATATCCCTAGAAGCACAAATTAGAAAAAATAAAATATATATTCAAGCACTCAAAAACTTTAGTGTTTAATTGCTAAAATGTAGAACATGTTTATTTTTTTCTGCAATACATCACAAACTCAATCAAGATAAAATTATCAATGTATACAATAAAAAATTATCAACAGCACCTACATTGAGTACTACAGTCAGCCTTTCTCTGTAAATGGTTGCCTGGATAATGTTACCTGAACTTTAAAGATATATGTTTACCCCAAAAAGAACCTCCCTGATTGTCCTGCCACACATAGGACAGTTTTGATTAGCTCAAGAAAGCAGGACATAATATAGAAGCTAAACAAGATCTAAACAAGAATGAGGGACTGGGGGTATTGATGCTGAATTTCTAGTGAAGAATCAAAACTATGATTAATAGAATTAACAACACTGTAAGATTTCTTAACTAAAAGAATATATTTTTAAAGTATTTTATGCCACCAACAATATACAAACAACAAACAACTGAGTTTCCAACATCCAAATGAAATATGCCCCAAAATGACGGCAGTCTCGAACTTGAAATGCATTTTCTAATTGGAGCAAGGCTAAAAATCTGCCGTTATGATGATGGGTAGTTCCTCAAACCAGTCCAAAAGACACTTTTTAGCACATTTCCTGAAATAAAACACATCAGAAATGTGGAATAGACCTGAACATATTTTGAAATACTGGTAAAAGTAGTGAATTGTAATGGGAACCACGACTGCACCAGCCCAGAGAAAGAGCAAAGCTGAATCACTCAAAGAGAGAACATAATTAAAGATTAGCCAAAATTCTTTGTAAGAAAAGTCAAAAAGATGGTTGGTGTTGGGAGAGGTACAGAAAAATCTTAAAGCCAAGCTGATTGCCCAAAAGACTTTTGCCTCTGCATGCCTGCCTCCCCTCCCCCTCTCTTCCTCTCTCAATCTCTCTCTCTCTCTCTCTCTCTCTCTCACACACACACACACACACACACACACACACACACAAAGTAAGTTGGGCACATTCCATCTGGAGGACAAAAGACACAGAGTTAAAAAGCACAAACAGCTGTGAAGAAGGAAAATGAGGGGACTAGAAGGAAAATTTGAGCTTTTGGAGAACACGGCGACCATCCTTAGCTCCAGAGGCCTGCGTAGTTCCCATGGAGACCTGAAGGGAGAGGCCCCCCAGCCACGAAGAGCTTCATCTCCGGCCAGTTGTAGCAGTGAGTGTAGAGCGCGTTGGGGAACTCATCCATGCCGCCAAAGTAGTTCACCCACAGGTCATCATGGTTGAGCCAGCCTCTGCCACAGGTGAGCTTGAGCTTACTCCCTGTGGGCCCCAGGGAGGAGTCGGGGCTGGCCGAGGCCCTCTCCTCCAGGAACTTCTGGGCGCGGATGTCATAGAAGAGCAGGGAGCCGTGGCCCGTGCCCACGGTGATGATGTACTGATAGAAACTCAGCGAGCGCACGCCTGTACCGCCCTCTCGGGAGCAAAGGGGTCGAATATTCTGCTGGCGCTGGCGCGGATCCAGGAAGGAGACGTGGGACTGGGAGCCCACCGCGTACAGAGACAACTCGTCGCAGTAGGTCAAGCACACGTTCTCTCGGCAGTAGGGCAGCCTGATGGACAGCAGCCTGGACAGGGTGCTCCTGACTTTCCACAGGTGGAAGTAGCCATCGAGGGACACCGCTCCCAGCTCCTGATTCTTGCCACTGAAGGCCAGGGCTCGTACCTTGCGGTTACTGGGGTTGGTGCTGGGCCTAGGGATGGTCTCCATGTCCCTCGGACGGATATGGGCGTACACCGGGAGCCCTGCGTCATTGTGCCAGGCTATGCTGCCATTGAACATGTCGGGATCCATCCTCCACAGTGCCACAGTGCCGTCGCGGGAACCGCTCACAGCCACTGTGTCACTCATCCAGGCGATGGCGAAGATCCAATCTTTGTGGCCATGACGGTCACCCAGGCACACGGGGTCCAGGGTGGGCAGCTGGTAGACCGCCAGGCTGTTGGGGTTTTCGCCTCCAGTGGCCAGAAGCGTCCTGGAGGGATTCAGCTCAATGGCGTGGATGCCGCAGCTCGGCTGGGCCCGGGCCAGCCCAGCTCCCCTGTCCCGCATGAGCGGGATGCGCGTGATCTGAACCGACTGCACGTCCACTACGAAGAGCGTGTTGCACTTGGTGCCGCACACCACCTGCCTGGCATTCAGCCACTGGGAAGCAAACACCTTGTTGAGGGTGCCCAGGGCCAGCTCGCTCTCGCACAGCAGCTCGGGCAGCTTCCGCACGGCGTAGCGGCGCAGCTCGCCCTCGAAGCTCGAGAGCCCCGCGTGGCTCTGCGCGCCCACCTCGCGGCCTTTCAGGTAGTGCACCAGCGAGCGCTGCGCTGCCGGCCGTTTCTGCTTCTTGGGCACCAGTGGGCCCTCGCCATTCGTCGCCTCCGAGCCCTGCGACGACGAGCTCGCGGCGGCTGCCTCGATGGCTGGCGCTTTCCGCTTCCTGCTACCTGTTTGCTGCGGGGCCATGGTGGGCGGCGGGAGAGTGGCGGCGGCAGTGGTGGCGGCAGCAGTGGTGGCGGCGGCAGTGGTGGCGGCGGCGCGTGGCACCCGCGGTGGCGGCGGCTCCTCCCACTCAAGCGGGAATGCGGGCTCTCAAGGGCCAAGAGGCAGGGGCGACAGCGGAGCGCAAAGCCTACCGAGTCCGGGCGCGGCGGCAGAGGCGAAGGAGGCGAGGACAGCGTGGCCCGGGGTAACGCCGGCAAGAGTGAGCGGAGCGCGGGGCCGAGCGCGGAAGCGAGGGCGGCGGCGCTGATCTAGGCAAGGGCGGGAAGTGCTGCCCACGGCGCGGCGGGAGCGCAGTCGGTGTGAGACGAAGTCAACGCGGGGGGCCGAGAGGGAGGGGGTGGAGGTAGCGGGAGGAGCCGGCAGGGAGCGGGTGTGGGGCACAAACCGGCTGGGAGGGGTCAGAGGGCGGCGGGAGGTGGAGGATGGAGCCCGCGCGGGTAGACTCACCCAGGGCCCGCGCTCCAGGAGCCCCAGCCTTCTCCACGTGGACACAACCTAGTGCGCCTGCCCAGACCACCTGATATCCTACTCTGAGCGTTTCACTACCCCCAGGAAAGTAACCAACTAGCCTTCTTAAAATACCTAAATATAATCCGAAAACTAAAATGTTAAGTATGAGGCTAGAAGGAGCCCGGACAATGTCGAAGAAACAAATGTGCACTTGATGCAATCCTGGGAGCTCCTTTGCTACAATTTGTGAACCTGATGGGTGATGGGAGTGTTCGGCAGAGGCAGGGCGACCCTCCCCTTTAAGTCTGTTCTGCAGCCCCTTTGGTCTCATCCCCTCCGCCGGCGTCTGTTATACATTTTCAACCTTATTTTTTTCCTCTTAATTCTCAAATTGAGGTCCCTGAGCTCCTATGCCAGAACCCTTTTGGGTGTGTTCCAAATGTAGTTTAATAGGCTTCACTTTCCGCCAGGGATAGGGTCAGGAACCAAGAGGACTGCATTGAGGAGTTGGAGGCTGGGAGGTAATAGAAGGGTGTTCCTCTGTGGCGTTTAGTTCTCTTGAACCTCAGAACCCTCAGGCATGGAGCGAGTGGAAGAGGAGAGAGATATCTCATAGGAGCTCCCTTGGGCGTTGGGGCAGGGACCTAGGGGTGCACAGGAGTTCCATAGGCATAGATAGTGAAAAACTTTTCAGAAGGATGTAACTACATACATACAATGATGAAGTATAGGGGTTCAGAGTATGGATTTACCAGTCTCAGGATCTGGATGGTCGATATCCAGCTCTGCAGCTTCAGAGCAGAGAATTCAGTGGCAAGGGACATCCAGGCATGCTCAGTTACACAGTGATACAAGTGTCTGGTGGCTGATAACTAAGCACCCCCCACATCCTCCTCTAGCTGAGTTTGCTGAGTGGGTGCATGTAGAATTAACTTTTCTAGCCAATCAAGGGAGAGCATGGGAATTACTTTGTTGTTGCTTTCCTTCTCCTTCTCCTAGCTCTGTTTGCAACTTCACCTCAAATATGGAAACTCCAAGTAGAAAAACCATGGGTACTTCTCTGACCGCACCAGTCCAGCTGCTGCATTGCAGTGTCCAATCCTACCCCATATACCTTTCCATGTGTAATGCCACATCTAGAGGAGGGTGAAGAGACTGGGTAGGGAGTGACATGATAATGAAAAAAATGCTGAAAAACATAATTAAAACTGGCATTACTAGAGAATAACGAACTACAAATTACTTTACCTTACATACCATAATGCTTTTCTTTTAATTTCCACCTCAGAAAATGGATATTATATAGTAACACTTCGTGGCACATATTTAATGTTGCTATAGAACAAAATAGGCTGAACATTTTGGGAGAGCTAACTAGATGTGTGTGTGTGTGTGTACAAACATATTTCAATTGCAAAACTAATCTGTAACGGTTATTATTTACTGAGAACCTGTTTGTGTCATGGGCTGAAGGGTTCTGCTAAACACTTCAAATGCTTCATGTACAGTGAGCCTCACAATAACTTTGTGAGGTAGGTTCTATTGTTATAGGCATATTTTAAAGTGAGGGAACTGAGGCCCAGAAAGAGCAATGACTCCCTCATGGTCACATAGCTAGTAAAGTCATGTTTTAAATCCCTGTCTGACCCCAAAGCTTTAATAGAGAATAGATGACTATTCTCTATTATTCAATAATTATCATTTTTCTATTTCCCTCTTTCTAAAAATCTTGTAAACTACCTCATATCATGAAAATTTTACAGATAGTATGTCTTGTGCACTGTTGAAAGATAGCCACGATTCCTAAAATAAACGAATAAATACTGAATGCAAATTATGTTCAACACTTCTGTATGATAAAGGCAAAATAGATCTCTCAGATATATTTGTGTTTTCTTTTTGCAAATTCTTTTTAAATAATATTTACAAAATGTAATAATATCTGACTACATTTCTTTCTTTTTTTTTTAATAAAAACACCCATTTAAAAACCCTGGTATTATGTCTTCCCATTTTTTTGATAAAATAAACATATGATATTTATGTATAATAATGTGTTTGCAATCAGTATTCAGATTACTATTTTGTATTGCTAAATGAGATATGTTAATTTCATCTAGAATAAAATACATGAAACATATTACATTTATGTCCAAATTTTTAAATTTCTTCAGCTTTTTACTTAAACGTGTAAAACTTCCAGACCAGAGCCAAGAAACGTTGAGAAATTTACATTTTTATATATCAGCTTGGAATTTTGAACCTTTATTTGCATCTTATTGCTTTCATTTTCAGGAAAATACAATGTCTGCTAATACATAAATTCATACACAGTACATTTATTGTTAAAGTAGTAGATGCAATAGCACGATGATAAAATTTTAGGTGTCTGCATAGCTTTCTGAGCATCAGGGTCTCCAGTAGGTATCTTTGTTATCTATGAGGGCTACTGTGTGTATGAGTGTAAACATCTTGTCAGTCATTACTAATCTATTTCTGTATTCATTACTGCTTTTTGTTACCAACATACCCCCAGATAAGTTTGTATTAGCCCTACCTATATCCTCTACACCTGATTCCCCTCCATTAGATGGAGGCTTATAAAAGTGGTTTCAAGGAACTGTCTCATCTTATTCTTTAATTACTTAATACATTTGAATTTTTTTCATCAGATTGTAAACCCCTTAAAGGTTAGGTAGTGTTTCCTATTTCCTTGCACCATCACATAGTTCTAGGTACACACTAAATGGTTTATAAAAGTTGTGATTGCCCTGCTGATAAATTAATAGAATGAAGGAGTGAAAGCAAAATGAAATACCCCAAATTAGAAGATATTTTGAAATCGAATTACTTGAGTGGACAAAGTGAAGAATTTGAATTGATTCCTAGTCATCTATAGATATATCTGTATAACTTCAAACAGATTATGTGACATGATTATATATATCTATCTGTCTGTCTACCTTTCTAATCTATGAATGAAGAAAAAGATCTGTCTGGCCAAAAAACAATTTAGATTACTAATTTAAAATTGGTTAAGGCAGAAAATTTGTTTTTTTTTTCCCTGTGGTATCATAAATGTAAGCTTGGTTATTAAATATGATTCAAATTTTCTTGAAAATTTTACTATATTTAGCTTTAAAACTAAAATAGTCTCAGGACAAAGGCACTGAAAGAATAAGGCAGTAATAGTAAAGCTGATGAATCAGTAACAAAGTTTTTTGAAGTACTCAATTCTAAAACTTTGTTTTACACATTCTTCTATAAAAAAATAATTCTTACAAATACAAGCTTTATAGATTGGAGCAGATTCTCAAGTAGAAAGACACTGTCTTCAATTAATTTCTGATATATTGTATATACATGTAAAGCAAGGCTGTCTTTAAAAATATTTTTGACACCTTGTCTAAATTTGTATATAAAGACTTTGCATTATCTTTATCAACAAGTATTAAACATAAGATGCGACAAATTATAGTTAAGTTAGTTTTAAAATAATATGATAATGATTCCCTATTATTTCTAATAGACACAGGCAAACTATTCTTGAATTGTTAAATTCAATAAATTTTCACTTAATCATACCATTTCAAGCTGTGACCTTGTCAAGTCTCCTAATATAAGCAACTGTGAACTTTATTTGTAGTCAGATGAGAGGCTTCATCCAAACTCTAATGCAGAAACTGCTAGAGCAGGCTGTTTCTGTCTATAAAGGCACGACTAAAAGCATAGGCTGTCTAGGTGGGGGAACAAAGGAAAAATGTATCACATTATTTCATTTACTAGAAGCAGAACTATAAGAAAAGAGGCAATTTTGACCCTGTGACCTCTTCTCTGCCCTACCCTTCTCCATCTTCTCTAAGAGGAAGAAATGTGTCAGAATCCAAGCTTGGCTTTGTTTAACAAGAGGGTGGATTCACTGCTGGTTATATATTTTATAGAAGGCACTACAGTGCAGTGATTAAGACAGTGGACTTTTTGGCCACATACCATAGTTTGAACTCTGGTTCTGTGGCTTGCTAACTTTGGAGCTAGGTCAATTGATATACTACTCCCTTTGCATTTATTCACTTATCTATAAACATGTGATAATAATAGCACCTATGCCCTGGGGGTGTTTTGACTGTCAAATGAGTTAATACATATATACCACTAAGAACAGTGTCTGGAAGATTATTAGCTCTTAATAAATTTCTGTTAAACACTAACGGCTTCCCCTCCTTGACCTTATTGAGCTTTACATAGACGACTTGTAAGCCAACTTGGTAATGAGGGTTTTTGAGCGCCCACTGCAATGCAACACACAGTAACTCACTATTACTAAAAACTGATACATGTAGGGATAAAATATTTGTAGAGTTAACTACTTGTCTACTCACATACAGATCATCAATCTCTATTATCTTTCTAAATAGTAGATAAATATTCATAGGAGAAGAATGTATTGTTGAAGCAATTTTTATATTATGCTAGTAGATTATCAAGGCATAGTTTAGAAGGTTTCCTTCTAT